AAGGAAGGAAGGAAGGAAGGAAGGAAGGAAGGAAGGAAGGAAGGAAGGAAGGAAGGAAGGAAGGAAGGAAGGGGGAGAGAGGCAGGGAGGGAGGGAGGAAGAAGAAAGAGAAAGAAAGAAAACTGATTGGGTTATCCTCACAAATGAAAGATCATGGGTTTCAAATACATACACTAATAAATTATTACAAGATGATGATTAAAAATTCACTACTTAGATTTTTTTCCTTTAATCTCAAACTATTTCTGAATGCTACATCTCACTCCTTAATATTCTCCTACAATCTAACATATGCATTTTTTTTTAGCTTATAATTGCCCCAGGAGTAGAAGAGACGGCTTTAACAATTCGACAAATTGCAGACCACAATTTAATGACGTCGAAGAGAGATCCTCATGAATGGTTGGATAAATCCTGGGTTGAAGTTTCACCGTCTAAGGTTACTTTTTCTAAATGCGTAAATTGACACCTGTCAGGCAAAAAAGAAAAAAAAACAAAAACATGAATACCTGAATTCCCTTCCTGATAGCATGGGTTTTTCCATGCTTCCCAATTGTTAGAAATTCAGGGACAAATTTTAATCTATAGACTGAAATAGGTCCCTCTCAAAAGACCACTGCCTGAGGAGACACCCCCTGTTTTGCAGGAAGAAATGAGCCTCCTTGACTTCCCGTGCATTAATCCACTGGTGGCTCAGCTCATGTTACACAGAGCACCTTCCCTGCACTGGCTGCTGAGAGCAACACCCGCTGAGCTTCAGGAACTCCTGCCCCAGGTTCCCAGCAAGGTTCTGAAGGTGGGTCAGAGCGCAGGCCCCCTTGGTGCATTCCCAGTCCAGTTACGTGTTTGCTAAGTGACGGTGTCCAGCTTTGTTCTGGACATCACATAGGAAAGAAAGCATTTACTTGAACTAACTTTCATATGGAATTGCCATTAACATACATTTCAAAGCTATCATAGATAACTCAGTACAGTTTAGTCCATCTTAAGGCATTTTGAAATATCATTGTATTCATAAATAGTCAGTTAACATGTGTTTGCATTACCCCTTCCAAAAATCCTGATGTCTTTATCATAGCAGGGAAGAGAGTTTTAGCTTTATTGATTATTTTTAAATTCTTATCAAGGAATAGTATTCGTGTATAATTTGTATAACTAAAATAAAAATCCACTGCATTTGTTGTGAACCTAAAACATCTCTAAAAACACTCTATTAAAATTCCATTGCAAGCTGCTAGAAGATAGATGCAAATTACAATGTTATCTTTTAATGGTGTTTAATTATTTTTTTATGTTAGTATGTGGCTCAATGTAGTATCTATGAATTTAGCTAGGCATCATTTTCTTTTCTAAACTGTATTAAACTATCATTTTTAATTTTTCAGCATTTTTGTAGCATCACTTCCTTGTTCAAGATTAATTCTTCCTCCATGACAATGTCACCTCGAATGTCATCACTTCAGGAGGATATGAATGAAACTGGTCCCTTTATTTCTCAGAGTTCAGCTCCTGTCATTCAGGAACATGAGGAATATTATTCCTATGAAGACCCGAAAGAGACAGTGCAGGACGGCACAAGCTCTTCTCTTAAGGAGCTAAGAGAAACACTGAGCATGTTGCCATCTGCAGCATCTCACAGTCAGACCAGCTACTGGAAAGACTCCATTTGTGGTCCTAACACAGTGCACAATAACCCTTTTCTAATTAATAACGAATCAGAGAAAGTGACTTGGCATTCCTTTCCAAGTCAGGATGATTCAGAATCAGGTGTCTTTTCTTTGGGCCTAACACAAATAAATTGTGAACCTGAAATGTCACCAGCTGATACTCAGAGGAGAGTTACTCATAATTTTGTTAATTATCCTAAAGCAAAAGGAAGCAGAAACATGCAAGTGTCCACCCCTGTGTTTTTACCAGAGGGCTCTCAATCCCACCTTTGTTGGGACTTTAAAAACAATGGTGACAGGAAACAGACTTATTCATTCAATTCAAGCTGTGGAGCAGAACAGACCTCCTACGACAAATGGTACCCACAAAACAATGACTTACCCAGTAATCAGCCAGAGTGTCTGTCGGCTAAATTGGAACACTTCACATACAGAAATTCAAACACTGGCACTGACAAGACCTTTTGGAGAGAACTGCCATCTGTCCCCAGCTGGAATTCATTCTGTGCTTCTGATTCTAATGTAAACCAAAGAGGATTCAATGGCCTTAATTTCTACCAAAGGGCTGGGAACCACTTAGGACAGAGAAGGCTCCCTGTGTCTTCATCTAACTGGGGAGATTATGAAACACCAACAGGTAACACTAGTAGTTAATACAACTTCTAGTTATAATTTTACAAGCTAAAGCTATGGGCTGGATAGATGGCACCATGGTTAAGAGTGCTTATAGCTGCTGCAGAGGACACACATTCGGTTCTCGGCACCCACTTTGGGTAGCTCATACTACCTGTAACTCAAGTTCCTGGGGATATGACACCACTGGCCTCCTTGGACACCTACACTCACATGCACATACCCACATGCAGGCTCATACACAAATACATAACTAATAATAAAATATTTAAAAATGATAACGATATAGTCAAATTTCAATGAATGTTTTGTTTTAATTGCTACACTTAAAGTTCTCAATTATCTTTGAGTTTAAGAGAAAAATCAAACTTAGTGGCCTAACAAAATATTTCAAATTCTTATAGTATCAAATGAACCATACCTTCAACTTAAGTTTAAAATAGCACTCAGGAGGATCTCTGAGTTTGAGGTCAGCCTGATGTTCTAGTGAGTTCCAGGACAACTAGGGCTACATAGAGAGACCCTGTTGCAAAACAGACAAACAAAATAGGGGGGGGGGGGGAGGAAGAAATTTAAAATAAAAATAGCAAACCTAAGTAAAGCAGATGATCAGGATTAAACAGAGGAATCAGACTGTCAGCTACATAAATCTATTTGGCTAAGATTGGTTGAGATATTAGGGGATGGTGACAGCTCAGTCCCTAAGGTGCTGACTGTGCAAGCCTGAGGACCTAAGTAAGTTCTGTACCCAGAACCCGCATACAAAAGCCTGGCATTGTGGCCATGGCTTGGAACCCCAGCACTTGGGAGGCAGAGACAGGTGGATCTGTGGGCTCACTGCCAGCCAGCCTAGCATATTTGGCAAGCTCTAGGCCAGGAAGAGATTCTGTCTCAAAAAATCAGGATAGATCATACCTGAGGAGGAACAACACCTGAGTTGGCCCTCTAGCCATCACACGCAAACACACACACACACACACACACACACACACACACACACACACACACACGATGCTAGATCCCAGGTAAACCTTTTCTGAGTTGTTTAACTTTATTAGAGAGGAGCTCCTATCAGCTTCACTTTGACGGATATTTTTTACTTGTCTGAACATTTTATCATTCTCCTTTTAAAAAGGACACTTGTTTTTTTTTTTTTTTTTTTGGTCATAATGCCTTTATTTTCTGTATAATTTCTTATGGCATTACCCTAAACATCTAAAATAAAATGTTAGGATCTCATAAGGCACATGAATGTGGCTTTGCCATGACAGGTAACTGGGAATGAGAAGGAAGAGAATTTTAAGCTTCAAAACTTTTATTCATAGGCTCCTTCAAAAGATCAGAGCAGGGCCCAGGAAAAACAACCTCACACTCTCTATTTTATTAAGAGAGGGCCTCCTAAACCTCACTGATGGTCACCCTTCCCACTCCCCTTCCCTGTGTCTGCCTCCTAATGGCTCCCTGAGGTCCCTACCCAGTAGCCTTCCTGCTCTCATGTCACATTATTATATCACTTTCTTTTGTCTCCACCCCTATGAAGGTCTCTTTACCCTTACAGTCCCTTCCCTAGTTTGATGACCTGTACTAACTGTAAGTAAATTTGTTGTAACTCTGTGGGTTTGGTCCCAGTTTTGGCACCAAAATGTGAGTTTTGCAACTCAGGGAGTCAAGCAACACCTTGAGCTGCTTAGGACAGCTCTGATGGCTGGAGCTGCCAAGAGGCAGCCCAACCCTGGAGGGCGAGGTATCCCAGACACCTTGAGCTGTTTAGCACAGCTCTGTCCTGGAGGTGTTCTGGACATATGGAGCTGTTTAGTACAGCTCTGACGGCTGGAGCTGCAAAGACACAGCCCACCCTAGAAGGGAAATTTTCTGACTGCTCAGGAGAGTCACACCTGGAACTGCTTCAGCAGGGAAGGGTATCCTGACTGTTCGGGAAAGTCAGGCTATACCTGGTGTGATGGGGGATGGTCTCCCTGAAGGATATAGCAGTCCTGCTCCTCTCCTAGACAGCCACTACAATTGAGCTTTGCTCAGCCCCCATTTAAGGGGGCTTCCTAGCAGAGCTCTGCTTCTCCGGCCTAAAAATTATAGAAATGTAGCAATTCCTCCGGCTCAGGAGGAAAGTGTTACTTTTTCAGCATTTTCAGCTCCTCCTTGCTCTGTCCACTGAGGGATGTCTCAGCAAGGGTCTTCTCTATGTCAATGAATGAAGATCTTCACACCCAAAACTCTTTCAAGAAAGAGATTTATTTGGGAAGGAGGAGTCCAGGAGAGTAGCTGCCTCTACCAAGGTGGAGAGAACAGCTCTTTTCTAACTGACCAGGCAGGGCGGGTTGCTTGCCCCACCCTCTGGTTCTACTGTCCTGCTCTGTGATTGGTTGGTTTTACAAGTCAGTTGGCCAGGGGCAGAGATGGCTCTGATTTGAGCCAAACTGTGTTTCTTTCACTGACCTTACTTAGCTTTTTGACACTAATTCTAAGACCAGGGCACATTTCTTTCACTGACTCTGATTCTAGGGCCCAGGAGTGTTATTTTGGTACTGGTTTTAGAGTCAGGGCATGTTTGCTTGGTTCATTTCTCTGGCTCACATCCCAAACACAGGCTGTGTTTCTTTCCCTGGTCCTGGGCCCCAGAGCCAGGATTCTACTTTCCTGCTCTGTGATTGGTTGGTTTCACAAGTCAGTTGGCCAACTGATTTGAGCCAAACTATGTTTCTTTCACTGGCCTTATCTAAGCCATCTTTCCCTAGTTCTGGGCTCCAGGGTCAGGGTGGGTTTCTTTAACCAGCCCCTTTTCCCTACATTAACCCTGTACATAAATGTACAAATGACCATCCAAGCACCACATAAGAGAATACTAGGCATAGTGTTTTTCAGTACTTGACTGTTCACTTAACATCCTTTTCACTTCTATCCATTGTTCTACAAATGTTAGGATTTCATTTTTCTTTAAAGCTGAATAAAGTCCTGTTGTGTATATGCATAGGGACACTGTTAATATGGTTCCTGCTGTTTAGTTCTGATTTACCTATCAAGAGTCATGCATTTAGCTGATGGTGTTTGTGCGTGTGCGAGTGTGTGTGTGCATGCATACTTTGTTACAGCAACTTTATAAATGAACCAGATCAAACCCCATCCTTCTACTCTAGAACAAATTATACGTGTGAAGTCTATGGACACTTGACACGGAGCACTTCCCTATATAATTCTCCCATTCTCTCCATGAGAAAACTACAGAAAGTGTCTCTAAATTCCGACATTGGTGCTTGTAGGCCTATTGATGGAATACTTGGTTATCTATGTAAATTTTAATTCATTTAGTTTTGAATAACTAATTTTACTTTGCATGTGTATATTTGTGGCAAGTGTGCATGTATGTATGAATGTTCACATGCGGATGCACATATACTGATGTATATGCACATGTGTGCGCATGATGTCTGGAGTCTCCCTTGACCATCTCTACCTGTCCAGTGAGGTGTCCTCTTAACTGAACCTAGATCTCACTGAAAATACAACTAGTCGAGCCAGCTTGCTCCAGGAACCTTCCAGCCTCTGAGTGCTGGAACTGCCATGCCCACCGCATTCACATGGATGCTGGAACTCAGGTCCACGTTGCACAGCAAGCGCCTAAGTGCTGAACCGTCCCCAAGCCCTAAACAATGTATTTTAAACCATCTACATACAGTTTTCTCTGTTTAGGGCATTTTTCTAGCTTCTAATTGCACAAAATAATTTTTACATTTTAGCAGAGTCTTTGATGGTGCTGTATTCACAGTCACTGGGGCAGATAGTGGCTTATTTAATGTGCTTTTCCATGGCACACCAGTGTCCACATATAATTGTTCTTTTATCTTCGGCACAGCGGTTGTGCCTTAATCGACTGCTACGTCAGCCAGCAATTGCCCCTCCAGTTACCGGCCTGCTTCTCTGGCAGCAGCCTGGAGGGAATTCTGTTCCCACAAGCACCGGCCCTGTCTCTGCTGCTAAAGGCAGCTTTAACTGAATCTCTATCATTCTATTTATGAATAAGAAGTGAGACTCAAAGGCTGGGGCGAAAACCTGCAAGCTCGGAGAGATTGAGTAGCAGCTAGCTAACCTCTCCTTGCTGGCATCCCTGAAAGATCTGTGCTTCTGCTCCCCGGCAAAGCCAGGCCACTCCAATCCCTCCCTCCTACTTCCTGTGTGTCTCTCTCTCCCAGATGTCCTCCAGTGCTCTATGATTACTGTCTGTCAAGGAGTTGCTAACTCAGACTCCTGAACCAAGGCTAATTTTATTTAATCAAAGCAAATGCAAACTCGGGGTTCACAGTGTGATCGAATGTCCCCCAACACAGAATGTTTAAGATACATCATTTTTCAAGTCATTATTGATGCAGTCATGGGAAGTTGAGCCACAGGCTCTAAGATAATTTTCCATTTGCCCTGTATGTGTGTACTTGTGATATCTTTGAAATAATTACCTACTATATTACTTTTTAAACTTACTAATAATGGCACTTAGCTCATGAAGTTCTGATGTAATACTCCCAGGAATAATTACTAAATTTTAATTTTTTACCTCTTTTTAAAAAACTGACCCAGTCAGTCAACCTCTATAAGGGCTCAAATCTATGGCATTTAAAGCTAATATGTCATATATAATAAGTTCATATAAAGTGAATCATTCCTGGTCACCTCCTGTCATATGTTAGGACTGAGGATAATTTTTACAGTGTAAATACAGGAGCAGGAATAGACTTATAACTGACAAGCAGTAGTCTTTTAGACATGGCGTATTAAAAACACCGGGGTGCTGGAGAAATGGCTCAGCAGATGAAGGCACTTGCCACCAAGGCTGCTGGTCCCAGTCCAATCCCGGGAACTAAATGGTGATAGGAGTGCAGGCTCCAGTAAGTCATCCTCTGACCTCCACACGCACGCACGCACGCACGCACGCGCGCGCGCACACACACACACACACACACACACTTGCAGAAATTACACTTCACATGCAGAAATTAATTAAAATTTTAAATAATGATGGTGGAATGAAAGCTGAACAGCTAATAAAATGTAAGCATATTGAATACAATATGAATAGTTTCAGTGGTGTACAGAGACAAAGAACAGAGCATTGTGAGAGTTCAAAGTCCACCAGAGTAAGCCTTGAACTTATTCTAATCTGTGAAGAGGTGCTGGAAACCTTCAGGAATTAGGAAGCCTGCCTGAGTTGCTTCCTGAACTATTTCCAGTGGTTTTATTTAAAAATATTAGAACCAAGAGAGACTTTAGAGATTGTATAACTCCACAGAAGGGGTTAATGGAATCTGGGGATAAGGAATGATTCACACAATCTATGTATGTACTGATACAGAGCCATTAGGTACAGGTGTATTCATGGTTTTTATTGTTGTTGGTGTTTTGTTTTTGAGACAGGATTTCTCTGTGTAACAGTCCTGGCTGTCCTGGAACTCACTATGTAGAGTCCTGGCTGGCCTTGAACTCACAAAGATCCGCCTGCCTCTGCCTCCTGAGTGCTGGGATTAAAGACATACACTACCACTGCCCAGCTGCATTCATGTTTTTTAAAATAACTATTTTTCATAGTTATCCCAATAAAGTGGTTTTCCTTTTTCTCCTTTTGACAGGCTTAATGTACTCACAAGTACCACAACCCAAAAAACAACGACTAACGTATGAAAAAGTCCCTGGAAGAGTGGATGGACAAACCCGGCTGAAGTTTTTATGAAGAACAGAAAGGACAATGCCACATGCCAGATTCTACTTTTTTTTTTTTTTTTT